ACCAGCGGCGATCGGCGTCACGCGTAATTGACCATTACATCTTTCTAACTTTCTCCCAAATGTCTATTTTGGAGATATATGTGTAATATTTTACAGAAAAATTTACGATATATTTTGTAGAAAAATCTCGTTAAAATGTTTCTTACTTCAAAATAAAAAATTATTGAACTTCACCAAATATTATCTTTATTTAATAACTAATAAATAACATTAGAATATTTCATCATATACTGCACATTCGATAAGGAACGCAATTCGTGAATAGATTGATCCTAAGTAAAACGAGTAAATAATTAAAACCTTGAAATTACAAATATTCTTTTACTTACATTTCAAAACTTAGTTTTGCAAAATTTCATATTTTAATATATTCTTGTGAGATCTCTTGGAAAATATAAAAAGTATGCGTCACGGTATCTATTGTGTTGAATCGCTGTACTACACAACGAAATGTCGCAGCGAATATTTCCATAATAATATGTATGCGCGAATAGTGAAAACCGCTTCACGCGGTATTACAATATGCCGCGTTGTTGCTCCAATTCCAATTTTTCTTTGATAGCTTTCATGTATTCTTTAAAATAACATTACTTCTGCTATATATTTGTAGCCTTCTCTTTTAAAATTTAAAATGATATATATATAATGCAATCAAATAAAAAAAGAATAATACAAAAATTATGCGTTTCGCGGGTTATCTCCGTATCTAAATCCGTTTTTAAAATACCACGATTTAAACACGGATAACTCACATATGTAATTTCTGTACAGAAAGTGCTCGTGGAAGCCTCAAGAGTATTAAAGAAGAATAATCCTTTGTTATAAAATATAAAATATAATATTTCCGCAAACCTCCCGAAATCTTCTAAAAATCCTGTAGAAGAGAGAACGATTTTTTTACTCTCTGTTGTACATATATTTTTGGAAAGGGTATAAAAAATGATGAATTTTGATGAGAGAGAGAGAGAGAGACATACAAGCGGAAATTTTTAAATAAATATTTATTTCTGTTAAAAAAAACCGAAAAATTTCCTTTCTTTCATTTTTTATTTTATTTCAATTAATGGTTTATTATGGTTCATAACAATTGTTTCTTAAAAATAATTATGATTTATTGTTGAAAATCTTTTTTTATTTCTTCGCGTTTGCTGTGCTCAAGGACAATTTTAATATGACCATAATAAACCGATCGTTATTTGAAATAAAATAAAAAAATGAAACAAACATTTTTTACAATTTTTTTAGCAGAAATAGATATTCATTTTAAAATTTTCGCTTGTTCAAAATTCATAATTTTTTTATGTCCTTTTCGAAGACATAAGTATACACAAGGAGTATAAAAATCGCTTCATCCTATACTGTATAATTAAAAAAAGACGAGGTAACTCGAAAAATTCTCTGAAAATTCGTAAACTCTATCCAAAGTATACAATATAACTTGTATAACTTGTATTTGCAGTGAAAGATAGAGAAAAGAAAAGACTTATGTAATATACAATTTGTTACAGGGAGGGCGAAGGCGGCGGCGGTGGCGGCGGCGGCGGCGGCGGTGGCGGTTCTCCCCATCATCAGCTCGGCCAGCAGGTCGGCAACAACAACTGCCACGCCGGTAACAACCCCGCCGCGAACAATCATCCACGGCTCAACAAAGATGACAGCATCAAGATCAGCATCGAGAACACCAACACGTGCACGGACAGTCTCGTCACTGCTTTAGACGACGAGACCCTGCTCATCACCGATTTCCTGGGCGACACAGGTAAGCGTCGCTGGATCAATAATGAGAGAGATCTACTCTTTGATCAAAATACTCGTAAATACAGCAATTCTGATTGTCTCTCGAGCACATTGAAAAATGTTGAAGTAAATTTTTGTAAATACGCGTTGAGGATATTTATTTATGTTACGACTATACATTGTTAACAATTCATACATGATTGCTCGCAATTAAAATTTGCGAACTATTTCAATTGATTAAACAATTCATTTTCATAAAATGTAAATACGACAATTTCAAAGTTAGGTAATTCAATTAATTACGGTGATATACAGATTGTGACTTTCATGTAGCGTGACAGAATGCAATAATACTGCATTTCACGAAATCCTAAGAGAATCCATTTAAATACGATATTCAATGCAAACGTATTTGTTTACATTGCTTCTGTATTTTTTGTAAAAGTCTTGATAAAAATGTCATCATTCGTTATTTATCATCAATCGACAAATATCGATGTCGTACAAGCATTATATTTAAATAAATGATCGGTTTATTTGAAATATGCAGAAATATTTCATGGAAATTTGCATAAAATGCGAGACGTAAGCACGATCGTTATAAATTCCAATTGAGCTTGCGATCTTTACAAACTTCTCGGAGGAATATAAAAAATGCGAGTAAAAATTACGACTTTAATGAGATCCGCCGTAATAAAGTGATACAAATCTAACGATGAGGATGAACCGTGGGATTGCATTACCGTTACCGTACCGTAATATCGAGCGTTACTCTTTGCTAAGATATATTTTAAAAACTTTTTATTTTATTTAGTAGTTTGTGCGACTTACATTTATTCAAATTTACCGCGATTGGCAGACTTAGGTGCCGCTAGTGTTGTAGCCATACTAAGCTTCTGTTTTAAAAACTTGTTGAAAAGGCAGTAAATGGTAGTTCCGTTAGAAACAGTGAATAAACCAGACGTAAGGTTAATAAAGATTAATTCACACACAACTCTAAAAAAATTCTCAAATATGTATAAAGTCTGCTGCAATTTAAGGGGAAAAGTTAAAATTTGACATAAGTACATGATAAACCGGCTCTCTCGTGAAACATCTATAGTATAATGTTCACGTTATGTTAATCACTGCTCATGATACGAAAGTGACTGGACATGAAATTGTAGACTAAATTTTCAATTATTCGCGATCGTCAATATGTTTATTCTTTATCTGTATTGTGTCAATGAAGTACTAAATCGAATCAAAGCTCATAAATGTCAAATTAAATCTATTTCTCGCAGATGTACGCGAGTGCAATTGTCGCATTGTGGTGTTTGCGGTGAAATGTCATAAATCATTGATAGGATCTGTGACACGTGCTTATACACGTGTGTAACGAGTGTGTTGTCCATCGAGTACAATGTGAAAATGTGAGCAATGTGATGCGTTTACTGACGAAATGTGCACGATGTAACTAATGACGATTTAAAAAAGAGCGCATTGTTTTATGGAGAAATAATTGAGATAAGAAATGAGATTACTATACAAATAATATTGAAGCGAAAATTAGTAGTGCAATATGTTAAACGTCGCGATCCTAAAAGAAAGAGGAAAAAAGAGAAGAGAAATATTGCAGAACAATTTTTCGTAGGTGTATAATGCAACATATGTTTCATGAGAAATGATTACCACGCTCAAAGTTTCGGGATAAGATTGTTTAAAATAGGAAAACATATTATTGAACAACAGATAATATTACTAGATGAAATTTTTAACAACGTTTACATGACTTTATGAAATGATATACAAATTCAACATTGTGTCATCAAAGAATATGATCCTTTATAAGTATCTCGTTTTTCAGGTTTGAATGCATCATATAATATGTACTGCGTACAAACGCAGTAGATCTTTCGTGGAAATTGGAAATATCCTATGATGATACTGGAATATAATAAACATCTGACATTTCGCGCAAATATAGCCGCTTTTTGAATCCGAGTGCATTCATTAAAATAGTATAAAAACCTCAATCAATTTGCAGTTTCCCCAGACGATATTTTCTTATGTAAATAACTTCATCGAAAAGTACGTAAGTAAAAAGATATGATTTTAATCTATAATTTCGAATTCCATGTCTTAGTAGCACAAATTTAAGTTGTTAAATTCCAGACTCGAACTTTTACAACACAGAATGTACAAAATCTGTAAATATCTAACTAATATAAATCTGAATATTTTTAATAAAAACTATAATGATAAGTTATATATAAAATTTTTTCTCTAAATAATAATAATAAATAAAATGCTTCTAAAATTTCACATAAAAATTTTCTGTTTTATGTGACATTTTGTGTAAACAAATAAATGTAAAATATTCTAGAAAGGTATTCCCATCGATCAAACATTTAAAAATGTTCATACGACATAAAAATGCTTAATTCTTTAGATAGAAGAAGTTTCACTATTTAATACACCGAGAAAAAGTTGCTTTTTCAAAAAAATATTAGTTGATTCAACTAAATGTAACGGGCTGTCAAGCAAATATTTGTTAATTCAACCAAATATTTGTTAATTCAAACAAATATTTGTTAATTCAAACAAATAACATGTTATAATAAATTACAAGATTTTGTTAATCTAAATATATAAATATTTGAACTAAATAATCATTACAAATTAAACGCATTTAGTCAAGTTAACAATTTTTTTTCTCAGTGCATTATCAAACAATTAATGAAACAAATAATGAACATTTAAACATTTTTTACATTAAACATTTGAAATTTGACCATTTAAATATTTGAACATTTTTTCATTGAACAACATTTAAACATTTTTTACAAAAATTATTCAAAATAATCTTCTCCAAATGATTTTATTTATATTATTGCCAATTATAGATAGAAAAAAGATAGGAAAAGATAGGAAAAATCTTTAATTATCCTAAAACTAAGCGATTTTGTAGTGTTTAATGTTGAAAAATGTGCATTACTTATTCCATTAATTGTTTGATACTGTTAAATAGAATTCCTCCTATCTCAAAAACTAAGCGTTCTATATTATAGACATGTTCATATAAATTATTTTTTATATTTGGTTGATAAGAATATGTCTCTAGAATATTTTGATACTTATTTATTTATACCTTATAAGTATAGATTTTATATATATATATACGTAGATTAAAGTAATATAATATACATATCCTGATAAAAATACATTTCTAAAATAATATAAAGCATTATAACATTTTTACAATATTTTTCTTTTTTTCTTTCTTTTTTTATTGATCATAATTAAAATCTAGCTAGGCTTTTCTGTTCGTCCGTTTCAAATATCATACGGTATATGACGAGCGCAATAAATTGCGATATTGGATCTCTTACGCCACTGCGATACGTATCGGCAGGAATTATGGTAGAGCGTTCGGGGATTAGCGTATACTAACATATGGAAAAAAAAACCGGTACATATGTACTCGTTCGTCCGGCTAAAACCGGTCAGTGGATACGCGTCTCTTCTCGTGCTTCTTCGCGTCCTTATTCCGTTACTTAAGCGAATCTTGCGCGGTATCTGCCTTTAGACCGGGTCAACGCGATACTCTGTTTCATCTCGTTCTCGTCCGCGAACTTGCCATGACGGTGCACGTCGAAGATGGAGAAGGATCCGATTTAGTGGCGCAGGAGATGCCGCTCATGCAGCAAGATGTCGTGCCGTCGCGAAACGGTTTGAAATCGAACAATACTGGTTCCTGGTCAAGATCGTACGAGGAGTTTATCTCAACTTGGACATTATGGGATGTTCGTAAATCGCGTAAATCCGGTGAGTGTTGACAAACCGTAACGGTTACGCGATTGTCAATAGTCATCGTCTTCGTCAGTATTTATTTCAACAAAGAGAACACACAAAAACAACAAATGTATTCTATCTTGAATCGCTTCTACTGTTTTTTAAACCAAGACTTTTACAAAAAAATAATTAAATTTTACAAATTTTACGTAAAAATGATTAAAATAATTAATAAAAACATAAATACTATGATTAATCCTAAATCAATATTTATATTTTTATTAATTTTTTATGAATTAGTGGATACGCGAAATATCTGTACGTAATAAATACGTGTAAAGTAATTATTTACATGTAGAAATATTTCATTTATTACCTACATGAGTGATTCACAATTACAAAATTAAAATGAGATATTCATATTAAAATTATCATACGTAAAATTTGGAAACTTATATGTTATTGATGTATGCATAAAAGTGACTTGAGTTCAAGAAAGGCTTCTTTGTTTAAAAAAAAAGCAATTATATTATAAAAAATATGAATAAAAGATGTAATAATAAAATAAAGATATAAAATGATATGGAATTCCTGAATGTGTATATGTATGTGTATGTGTATGTGTATGTGTATGTGTATGTGTATGTGTATGTGTATGTGTGTCGCGACACATTAGTTCTGACAATTGTCTAATAAGTTTGAAACTTATCAAGCAATTAACGTTTTTAAAATTTTAACTTATCCTAATCACAAATTTTACAAAATTCCATGAAATTTGCACACAGCAAATTTCGCGAGTTAGTTCACGAGCCATAAAGATATTTTAGGTTAACATTAAGTCATACATCTCCGGCGTTATCGTGGCGTGAGTTTACAAGTTTGGTTATGCTTATGAACAGTTCGCGATTTGTGCTTTATGTGACCACTATCATGCGACTCGGCTCGGATTTATCGGACAGGCGTGAGATTTTACGGGCGTTATCGGTGACGATAAAAGTCGTAGAATAATGAATGTTTGTCATCGTCGGACTGAGCTGACATGACCATGTTACAGGCAACGAGATGAATTACAAGGGCAGCGGGAAGGTCCACTTCGGGGTGGACGACGTGTCCCTCTATGGGACGCCGAAGGAGGAACCGGGCCCGGGCCTCCCGGGCCAGGAGGTCAAGCAGAGCTTCCTGAAGAATCAGCTTCAGGCCCTGTTCCAGCCGACGGACAACAAGTTGGCCATGAAGCTCTTCGGCAGCAAGAAGGCGCTTATGAAGGAACGGATCAGACAAAAAGCCGCAGGTCACTGGGTCATCCATCCTTGCTCCAGTTTTCGGTATGTCCTTCGAATATCAACTGATCTCATTCAACAGGCCGCATCAATATTTTGCGCTATCACATTTCGTTCCGGCTGAAAAACAAGTTGGTGGTTCTGCCAAGAAATACCGGCCTCAGACACACACAGCCTAATATCTAAGTCTGCTCGAATAAACTCGCGTACGATACATCGGTCTCGCGTTCTTTATAAAAAGGAACAAAATTCTGCATACACTTGTCCCTCATAAAGTTGACATAAAATTTGCGCTTAGAGATAACTAGATATATTGCCTTATTAAAAGCGTTATTTATATCTGCCATGATGATATCAGCACGATGATTCGTGTTTTATAATAATTAGATACGATATAATACAAATTCATTCCTACAATATTATAATTTCATTCTTTTTCGTAAAAATAAAAGATGTAAAAATTTATTTTCTCGAACATTTCATAACTTACATCAATCATGAAATGTTCTTTACGAGACTGATTACCTTCCAGACATTTTAAAAAGAAATGGTTGAAAATGAAAAATTACTTCTCTTTGCAAGACTTGCTTTTAAATTAATGTAAAAAATTATCCGATTGTGTCAGTCAAGTTTTAAATTACGATTAGTTTTAAAATACGATTTTTAATTCTGACTTAAGTCACTATCCTTAGATGTAGAGTGACTTTATAAAGAATATTATTCGAATATGAATATATCGCGTATATGTCGCATACTAGTGAAAGTAATAAATGACAAAAGTCGCCTGAGCGAGCGTAAATCAACGACTCGTATCGGCTTACTCGCAACCCAAAACTTTTCAGCCTGACTACGATCCCGGATACGAGAAACGTAAACTAGCGCCTTTGTGCCGCAGTAAAATATCTACCGTATCCAGATCGTTCATCGTGTAGGCTTTCCGAGCCGTCCGAATGAGGCGCACGTCTCCGATCTCGAGAACCAAAAAAGAATGCGTTTGATCTACGAGCTAACATGCGTTACTTGCGACTTCAATCGATCTGGGTCGCGCGGAATATTCAATAGCTTTACAAGAGTCACGAATTTAGTCATGTACATGCTCGTGTATGTACAGTTGAGCAGTCGACCTCGCCTAGCCACAAAATAGCATTGAGACTTTATGGCCTCAGGAAGAAGCTTCCGTCAGGCCTTTCGCTTCCTTCCGGAGTTTCGCTTTATCGATGGCGAGCCGCAATCCGTCGCTGAAGTCAGCACGCATGCTATCGACTTCTCGCGTAGAATGTTGACACCCTCGCTGAGTCATTTACGGACAAATGCATCGATTAGAATGACAATAAGCGTTCAAAAATGCTTGTCTATCGAACGATAATATTATAGACAGGCGATCTTCAATTAATAATAATTCCTTGCAGAATTAACTATTAATCGATATTAGTCGAGAAAAAAGGATTATAAGAGCATAAAGTGTATTTCAAGGATCTGTATTAACAAAATCCTAAATACATCTAAATAACATGGAATTCATAACATAACATCGAGAGAAGAAAGTATACTAAAAGTTCAAAAAAGAACTCCGCACTAATTATGTTATGAAAAATTGGTTCGCCGATAAAATGAATTAGTTTTCACATATAATGTGACTTATATAATGTGATGAACAAGAGACACGAGGTTTAATAATGGGTAATTTTTTAGCTGAGTGGTGCATCAAAGGTATAAAAGTTGTGCTCACAGAGCACTTTTAATAATTCAAAAACTATCCATTACTGAGTTTATGACAGCGGAATTTAATTTTCCATGTATTGTAATTAATGTGCGATTTTTTAATTCTCAATCCATTAAAAATAATTTACAGGTTTTAATGCTTAAAAATTAATAGAATATAGCTTTTTCTCAGATTTGCACAATTTACCTTTTGATAATTTACGGAAGAATTGTTATAGTTCAATTTTGTTCCTATTCAATGTTTCCATTATTTGTGCGAGTTTTTTTTTTTTTATTTTCGATGCTGCTTTTCGAAAAAAAACTGTTTTGCATGGCATACGGAAGAAATCAACGGAACAAATTCGCGCGGCTGAAAACGAGCGAATGGTGCCTCGTTACAATATCAAATTGCCAATATTAACTGTGCATGGCGCAGCGTGCACAGTTCCATAACGCGCGAAACACTATACTCGGCCACGACTCCGCAGCGGTGACGGCGGCGGCGTTTGTCGTTCCAATTGGTTGAAATTGCCCGGCGCTTCCGTTCGGAATCTTGGCTAATTACCGGCAGCATGGAGGATTCTCCGTAGCCTTCTCTACGATTCCACTAAAACGCGAGACTCTCGTGGGCATTGAAACTTTAATTCGTTCCTCCGTTAATGGTTGCGATATCTTCCGGCAGAATGAACGTAACCAACGGTCGTTCTTTACGCGACATGTAACGCTAATATCCAGCTGCTAAATTATACAAATGAGCGCTCAATGGTGCTCCATTTTCCAATCGTTATCATATAGATCAAATATCCATATAATAAAAGTCATATAAGCTCTCGCGTCTGATATGTTTTATTTGAATAACGTGACACAGCGAGGGACGTGCCCTCGAATTAATGGATATATTATTTAAACACGTGCAAGCATCATCAAAATCCTTTTTCTCTTCAGGGAATAATGATAATAATTTCAATAGATTCATATTGTATTAATATTACACGGTGCATGTGCTTTTATTTATTTCACTTTATTTGATGTGTATAAGTTATTTCTTTTCCAAACAGTCTTACGAAAAAAAATATTAGTCTTTTTAATCAAAAACTTTTTGAACACTTTTTCAATGTCCAATGCTTTTTCATTGTTTGTAACTTTTTTATTAATAAACATATGTACATACATTTCCACAACCTAACCATTATTTTTTATTATAATATCTGGCGTTTTGATTTGAAAGACATTTACGATATGTTCATTTTTATTAAAGTTATAAACAATTGAATTGAGTGATATGATTGGGTCATACCGCAATGTGTTGTAGAGTTTGGCATTTAAAAGTTAATATACTAAAAAAAAAAGTAAAAAAGTAAATACCACCGAAATATTCGCAAATATTACGGAATTACAGATATACGGAAAATCAGAGTAGTGTCGCGGTTTTGAGAGGACACGTGCGTAAATAAATGTGTTCTTTGATCTATTGACCAAAATATAAATGATAGCCGAAATATCCGATAACACGTGTCGTATAGTTGGCTGGTAATGTCGCTCCGTCAGCAGTTCATTATCCGAACATCCCGAACATGCATGCCTCTATAGGAGATATCATGTTAATGGAGATTCATCCTGAGCAATTAACAGAGGATCCTAGACACGACATCGATGTGAGTTTCGATACGATAGTACTTGACTTTTGGTACCTATAATATTTAAATCGCTTAAGCAACTAGACTAAAGACGATGTGATAACAATTTGTAAGATCATTACAGTCTTAAATCAAGGATACTGAAAAGTGAAATTAAGTCAGCTAAATGATAGCAAGATATAAATGAATGCCAAAATTACCGAATGCATTCAAATTATTCAGATAATTTCGAAAGTACATGCAGATAGCGAGACCGTGTCTTCCGGATAGTCTCACTAGATTTCAGCTGAAGCGGAACTTTATTGGAAGCTTAGTATCGGAGATACTCTGTGCGGAATATTAAAAATTTACGATGCACAATGCTGACAATATCATTTCCTTCGTTTTAATATGCGGCCACTAAATCGCTGTCCTTCGCTTACATACGTTGCATGAATTCGTAATTCGCCGAGTTCAATTCGCCTCGCACGGTACGTGGCATTCATGACGACGCCATGCATACGACAACATCTCGCGAAAACGTTATAGAATTAAAAGAAAATATTTTTACGCGTACAGTCTGAAAAAAAGAGGAGGAAACTCTTAATTTTCTATAGGCCACAGGAAATAAAATGTGCAATTGTTTTTTTCCATAAAAGTTTCTCTCATCATGTTTGCGGTTGCACATATTTGTCTGTTCTACGTCGGTTGGAATTGCCGCATTGAACATAACTTGACAGGATTCGGTCGCGAGAACACGCTCTCTTTCACCTAAAGGGAGAGACTTATAAATGTGAGACGTCATAAAGAAGCGAACATAAACCACGCTTCTTAACTCCGGACAGCACATTAAATACGTTCTTTTTTCCTCGTTTCGTGTTAAATTGTATAAAAAGTTGCATCTCCGGTGAAAACGACTTTCTTCGTGCTTGATTTACCATTGATAACGTTAAGATATGTAGACTGAGCTCTCAAGCGAATGATTTATCGCGCACGGCCATCGGTATCGAATATTCGGCCGTTCCACATTTAACGGTTTCTGCTTTCGGATTCGTTCGAGAGAAAATTTTATACTTTATGAAATGCGATTTCCTGGCACTGTAAAATTTCCCTTGTAATTTTTAGCACGCCCTCAGATCTCTTTTTACATTATGTTATGTATCAGTAAAATATTTCGCTGTGTATATATTTATCTGAATCTAATCACATATTTCTTTAAAAATAATAAAATAAAAAAAAAACGCATTTAAACGATAATTGCTGCTGTTCAAAGTTGTCAGCAGACAAGTCTATCTTTGACATTACGGAGTTAAATACCAGATTTAAACAAAGGCATGAGGAAATATAATAAAACCCGAATTATTTCTTTTGTGTTTCAAAGTGCATTTACTTATGCACTGCAACGTCCTAAAAGAAAGAAGATAACGTTTTCGATGTCTGAATAATCAAAAGTAACAGTAAAAATCCTTAGTGCAGTTCGCATTCGTAATGTGTTCTACGCAGTTTCGCTTTGACGTAAAAGAAAATAATTGCCCTTGCCTAAGAAGTAACGTATTTACAGTGACAACGATTATTATTATCTAAATAATTATCGTATCATTATGGTGCATATTGGCTAACGTATAATCACCTATTGCTGCGCAATGATCCATTCTAGGCCATGTTCCGACATATACATTGTCAGTACTGAAATTCTATAGTATACGTAACATGAAGATATTTTCAGTG